AAAAGACATATGCTGCTAATTATGTTCCAGTTAGTATAAGATGTATAAGAAACTAGCAGTGTTTCTTAGTTTTTGCTTCTCTGCTTGATCACAAAATGTATGTTGGAAAAGGTGCCAAGTCTTTAATTGATGAATGCAGGTCCAACTTGAAAAACAGACACAAGATTAAATTCTTAAAGACTTAAAGACTTTTACTGAATTTTTCTCAGCTTCTCTAGCAGATTGAAAACCTTTTAAAGTAAACAAATATGAAATAAAGAGAATTTGTAGGGAGTTTGTATTTAAATTTATGTTAGAATCATATTAAAATTACATGTGTTAACGTAGCTTTTAATACATAATTGTATATTTTTATTATGTAAAATAATAATACATTTATTAATATTACATTTTGTTGAATTTCTGAAGTGGCTAATCATTCTAGTGCCATTGTTTAAGATGACACTTTACATTTTCTATCCATCTCCTATTTACACAGTTTTTTATCGTAGTTGTTTGTGTGCGTGTATTTAGTGGGTGTGCCCAAATCACATGGCCTTTCTCCTGACCTAGTTGGCGCGTAACTGCACACACCTGACTGACGCCTCCTGCAGTGTACACAATTGTTAATCCACAAATCACCACATTGATAGAAATTACCCCTGAAAGCTGGGTGTGGTGAGAATGTGGCTGAAAGCTGACGTCGATATTTGTGTTTTTTCCGCGCGCTTAAAGTTGCCACAGTTTATCAAGGCGGAGTCTGTTTCATGCGCCTTCTGATTTGATATTTGCAGCTTACTTAAATCAGCAGTGAAAATGTAACTCCCATAGGTTTTGTGTATCTTTGTCCGCTGTTGGGTGTGGTGTGTTATCCTGCCCTGTGTTATCTAGGGTGGAGAACTACACTGACAGATGCAGAGAAGTGGACAGTATCGCATGGACAGAGAGAGGGCTGTGGCTCACCAGCTGATAAGACACACAGTCCAGTTATAACCTCTTTAGCGGCATCAATTCATATTCTGACTGTAGTTCAGTTTTTTATGCTGACAGAATACTCTGTACTTTAATTTTTTCCCATATTGCCTCTTAAATATCCTGTATTACTCAAAATTGACTCTTGTGAGCTTCAAGAAGTGTTATAATGTTGTTACCTCCATATTGCAACTCTACTGAGGCCATATACCCATTATAAAAGTAATAGTAGGATTAAGATGACATGTGAAAAAAGGGCAGTTATGCAAGTAAACTTAAAGTTCCCATATTATGCCCTTTTCTAATCTATGTGATTATGTTCTTTCCTAATCACAAACATGCCTGGGGTTGTGTTTGTTTCATTCACACATGTTTGAGTAAGTCTTTATTATTAGTCTGTCTACATCTGCAAAGCTCAAAATCCTCTGTTACACCCTGTGATGTCATGTAGTGATAGTTTTCAAGTTAACACCTACCTTTTTACCTTTTGTTCAGTCGAGAAGATTGGCAATTCCAGGACTGAGATGATTCAAATTTCAGTGAAGGTGTATGGAGTTTAAAAACACAGTGGAACACTCCCTGTATTACTCCCTGATGTCATGTGGTCTGAGGGAAGAACTCAACCTAAATATGCAGGATTTGTGTGTTAAATGTGTGTGAATGAAACAGAACACAACTCCAGGTATGTTTGTGATGACAGATATATGTTCATGTGAAAGATATATGCTCTATATTTTCACTTGTCATCTTAAATCTCTTGTGACTTTTATGACAGTTATATGACCCCACTAGAGTCACAAAAAATCCTGTACAACAAATTGTCCTGAAAAAATATGTATAGCATGTTATTGTATCTTAGTGTGTAACATTTCTAGTAGAGGGTCCTCCGCCTGCTTGAGTGTTCCACCGTATAGCATAAACCTACAGTATCTGTCACAAGGGAGTCCAGCAGGTTACAGCACTACGCTACATGACAATTCAGACCTGTGGAGAGTCGCCCTTTTTCACTTTAGGAATTATTGTATTTTTGAGAATTGAAACACCCAGATGTATAAATGCCAGATGTATATGTTTATTGCCATACCATCAAACATAGAGACAAGCAGGTTGCAGACACACCATCAGTTGCACAGAAATATAAATAAGATCAAGCAGGGAAGTGAACCCATAACTCCACTTAGACTTCAGAGGGTTAACATGGGGGCTCTCCAGTATTTATGCAATCATCTATATCATACTGCAGCTGTAAATGGTTGAATTCCTATTTCAACATATACAGAATAACTGCGTTTCACATCTCATTCATAGTGTCCTCCCCATAGGTTTGCTCCTCGTTACTCCCCGGACACACATATCATCCTTTTGTTTCGTGGAGGTTTCAAAATGTGCTTGTTGTCTTGGCGATGAGGTCACTCCCCTGCAGCTGGTCACTGGGCGGACAACACTGAAGTGGATTGGGTGGGGACCTCTATTAGGGAATGAGAGACAGAATGTGGGTGAAGGATAAAAAGTAGAAAGAATAAAGTGTAAAGTTTGCCAGAGAAGAGAAATATAGTTTAGATTAATAGTTTTGTAGAGAGTAAGGGTGTTTACAAAAGAACTGGGTGTGTCTGCATTGTCTTTGATCAATGCTGTCAACAAGCAATGAATGAACATTAACATTTTTGTATTGCTGATGTCATTTAAGTGTTGATGCACTGGTTAGCAGAATCGTTGTTACACAATTTGCAGCTACATCTAAAATCTAATATCTGTACTGCACTGCCTTCATTACTTTCTACTTTGACAATGATTAAATCCAGGCCTTTCTCTTTTTAAATGCAAATTTTATGATAATTATTTATGTTTTGATTTGTTTGTATTGTGATTTTAAAGGTGCACTGTGTAACTTTACTGGTGTTGGATGTTGTTGCTTTGCCGAGAATGTTCCATTGTATTGCGCAAAAAAAAAATTTCTAACATTTCTTTCATAATGGGTGTTTTTATTGCTCAAAAATACCTTGAAAAACATACATTCCTATTGTAAATGCGGTAGCTATTCCACTGATCTGACCTGTAACTTGGCCTCATTGTGTCATCTGATTGTCTCAATGGAGATATTAATTTAATGCCATACAGCGGAACATTCTAAGCAATGCAATAATATCCCAGTTGAGACAAGCAGATGACGGATCCTCCACCAGCAAAGTTACTCTTTAATTTTTACTCTTTACACCTTTAATGTCTTGTCATTTTTATTCTGTAAAACACTTCAAACTATTTTGTGTACAAATTGTTCTTTACAAATAAACCTGTATTGCCTAATAATGTACAATAATCTTTTTACAGATTCAGAAAATGATCTGCAAAATAAGCGACTGAAGCTAGACTATGAGGAAATCACTCCGTGCCTGAAGGATGTTACTCTGGTCTGGGAGAAGATGCTCGGGACTCCTGGGAGGTCAAAGGTCAAATTTGATCCGGATGCCGTACATGCTGCACTCACACATGGTATGTTTTCTAAGAATTACAAACCATGTTCTTTTTCATGTCACAAAATGAACAAGAGGTGTGGCTTTGCTCTTACCTCAAATGTACATTCAGACCTTTACTATTTCAGGAATGTAAGATTTTTTTTTCTGCACTGACACAAACGTAGCTGTTGACGTTCCCCTTAGATGTTTGAACAGTGTTTTTGACCCCTATCCTCCTCACCTTTACTCAAGTCTGTGCTCTGTCTGACAGGTGTCCCGAGGCAGCACAGAGGGGAGATTTGGAAGCTCCTCTCTGAACAATTTCTTCTGCGTCAGACCGTCCCGTCACGACCTCCAGCCAATGATACTCCGTACAAAGAACTGCTCAAAAAGCTCACGTCACAGCAGCATGCCATCCTCATCGACCTTGGTATTATACAGGTTTACATTGCTAGGCCTGTCACAATATGAAATTTTGAAATGCCATATATTGCTAAAGAAATACATAAACCAATCAGACCTTATTTAAAGAGCGCTTTACAACACTCAAGGTGACTGCAATGCTTTACATTAAAATCAACACAATATAAACATGCAAAAACAGTAAAGAATTAAATAAAGCAAATAACGCAAAGTGTCACTGCATTACTGAAAAAGCCTTAATTAATTAATTTGATTAAAAGGCTGTCTGAATAGAGTGATGACTTTTGAGCCTGGATTTATACAGGCCAAAGTCTGTGATGGTGCAAATATAATATTGAAACTAAATTATACCACTGATCCAATAACCCTACTGCAGGATTATCACCAAAAAAAATATTCTAAACTTGAGCTGCATTAGATAAATAGAATGAAAGACTTTAGTAGCTGGTTTGTGTCTATGAGTTATAGAAGTAATTAATTCAGCTCATATTTTATCGTAGTACAGAAAAATAATAAAGTTCCCCACTACTACAAGGAAAAAGTACCCACCCACGATTAGGCCTGTCACAATAATACATTTTGAAGTATGATATATAGCTGGTATAAGTATAAACGATAATATTGAAACAAATTTATGCCACTGACACAAAAAACTAAAATCAGAGTTAAACCACAAAAACAATTCAAATGTGCAATACTGTTTAAAAAAATGCATAAGTTTCAATAAATAAATAGCAGAATGAAACACTTTGATGCTTAGTTTGCATCTATAATGAGTCATAGAGGTTATTAATTCAACCTTTTACAGCTTTAATCTGATCATATTGCCAAAAATTAAAAAAAATAAAAATCTCACACTGGGGCAAAGAAAAAGTTCCCTCGATAAATACTGACTCCCAAAACTATTGTTCCATCTTAAATATACTGAAAAATAAGTCAATAAGTCAATGTTTGAGAAATGTGTGAATGAAACAAAAGTAAACTCCATGTATGTTTGTGATCAGAAAACAACATATTTTGAATAGAACATATATCAGAAAATGGCACATAAACTGTATTAACAATAAGTCAATACAGAAATTATCATGACAGGCCTGTGCATTGCTTTACTGTCAAACTACATTTGTGACGCTGAAACCTTTTCGTTTTCACACCCCGTACACCCAAAAGTCACACACATACAATGCCTACGCCCCGCCCTGACAGCTCCCACATCTACACATAATAAAGGGTTGCAGGGTTGATATGGAGAAGAGTGGAACACGCCTGAGCTCCCATACATCACAGCAGACACTTCCTTAAGGCGCAGGAGGGATGGCTGCATTATTTTAACAAACATTAAGCGCCTCCAGCACATTCCTGTCGTGCACACTCACACGGTGATCATTGTCTTCTCTCAGCACAGTAAGTCAAGACGTCCTCTGTCCTAAACACACACACTGCTGTCAGCCTCCCTAAGAATGCCCCTCCACATGTCCCAGACCCTCATTAAGTTGTCATGTGTGAAAAGAGCAGGTCTTGTGCAGCTGTACATGTTCGGTCTTTTAGGTGCTAGTAAGTCCTTCTGCATTAGCACACATTCACGAGTGCTTATTCAAGTGTTTGTAAGTAAGACAACTTGGAATGGGTTGGCACATGCTTATACAGTGAGCCTTTGTAACATCAACACAAAAGTGTAAAGTCTAGCATCCTCGGGCAAACTTTGGGAGACTATACTTTGTTCCAACACTTACCCACACCCATAGTCTCCTGGGGCAGTCAGACGATCTTTCCTGAAGATCAAATTGTATAAATCATTTTGATTAAAGCTGATATTTATTGTCTCACTCATATCTGAAGGATCAATAGATTCTTTGTCTGGTTGTTAATTCAGACCCAGTCATAATAAATTTGCAGTGTCTTACATCAGATAATGTTGTTTTGTTTTCACCAGGTCGCACTTTTCCTACTCATCCATATTTCCAGGCTCAGCTGGGGGCAGGGCAGTTGTCTCTCTATAACCTGCTCAAGGCCTATTCGTTGCTGGATCCGGAGGTATTCTCTTTAGTTTCAGCTCTGACCATTTACAATAAACAATGTGTAAATTCGACTTGCCTGTGGGTCTGGGCTGTCCTCTTTGTTCCGCCTGTTTACATGTGTATGTGTTTGTTGTCTAGGTGGGCTACTGCCAGGGCCTGTCCTTCATTGCTGGAGTACTTCTGTTACACATGGGGGAGGAGGATGCCTTCAACATGCTCAAATTTCTCATGTATGACATGGGCTTGCGCAAACAGTATAGGCCTGATATGATTATCCTTCAGGTAAGATTCAACTAATTGTGAGATTTGTGGACTATTGCACCAAGAATCCTTTCATTCTATTTCAGAAGATATACATATTCACATTATACTCATAAAGTTACTTTCGTTTTACCTGAGTACAGTTTTATTTACTTTGGTTGTTAGCCAGAGACACTGGCACATGTTTCTCTGAGCCTTCTGTTCAGACATGTGTGCCCAACCTCATAGTCTTACGTGAACCCTCTCCATGTCTCGTGTAAGCGTTTCTGATCAGGCCACACAGCACAATAGTGAAATTAGGAGACACGCCTCATATTAAGATATTGTTAGTTAATTCACTCTAGGTTTGTCAATAAGTAATGACGCACAATGACAGATGTCCCCATAGTCACAATAGCATCTTTTTCACAGCTAGTGTCCTGTTTCTACAGCCGCAGTTCACTAAACCAGCCTTATATCCTTAGAAGTGTGTGTTGTGTTTTGCAGATTCAGATGTATCAGCTGTCCCGGCTGCTCCATGACTATCACAGGGATCTGTACACTCACCTGGAGCAGCAGGAGATTGGGCCCAGTTTATATGCTACTCCCTGGTTTCTCACCATCTTTGCATCTCACTTCCCTCTCGGCTTTGTGGCCAGAGTCTTTGGTAACAACAGGTTTTTACTTGACACCATGAAAGATGCTTTTTTTATTTTCTGCTCAATTTATTTGATAATATCCTCTGACTGAACTAGACTGTCCGGCTCCTTGTGCTTATCCAAGTGTAAAACCATGTCGGTGTGTGTGAGCCTGCATCATTATTGCATTCATTGTGAAGAATTTGGTATCAAATGTGAGGCGCCACACGTCCCCTCCCTTTCTTAATCTGTTGTATGATCTTGAGCCTAGCCCTTTTCCACACCCTGCTCATTCAAAGGCCTTCACAGAAATACACCTACACAGCTTCCACATATCCTCTCTGACCTGTGTTTATGTTTGCTTATACTTTTATTGCTGACGTCAATGTATTGATCATAAAAAGCTGGTTAAGTCCCTGGTCAACAGTGTGAGCTTTGCTGTGACTGACTGCCTTTTGTTAACATGATACCAAGTGTGTTTTACTCTGTATTTGTTGACCTGAATCCAACCCTCATCTTTGACATTACCCATTGTTTTTTTGTATTTGTCAGATATGCTGTTCCTCCAGGGGTCAGAGGTCATCTTCAAGGTAGCTTTAAGTCTCCTGGGAAGCCACAAGCCTCTCATCTTACAACATGACAGCCTCGAGTCCATAGTCGATTTCATCAAAACCACATTGCCTAATTTGGGGTTGGTGCAAATGGAGAAAACAATAAACCAGGTTTGTTTCAGTGCAGTTCAAGGATCTCTGGTTTTACTTCAGATATTTTAAATGAACGGAATGGTTTTACAACATTGCATTAAAAACATCAACAGACAGTTAACACAACAAAGCAATTGCAGAATGAATATGTCTTCAGATAGTCTTTATATCTCATTTATTAACATGTGCGTACGTCCTGAATGTTTTGATTTTTAAAGCAGTATTCCGCCTGGTCTGATCTTGGCGTGCATGACATTTACATACATGACGCATTACAGTGTGTTATGAAAGCTATAAATATCAGCCACTCCCAAAACGTCATCTAAACTTTCACCTGTCTTTAGCGGCAATCTTATATGAATGTAATTTGAACACTTTTTGACTTACCTTAGTTTAAATATCTTTAACAGTCAAAATGGATGGGGCTCAGAATCGTATCAACCACATGTGAAGAATGCATCGATCTTATTTTTAGGAGATAACAAAAGGCAGTCAAATCATGTATGAACTTGCCTCCTGGACTTTCCCTCCAGTGCCACTTATCTACATGGAGTGTGCGTATGCTAGCAGTGACTCACAGTTTCACAGTAATAAGAGTGAATATACAATAGAAAGATGAGCACAAATCTGGTCCCGTTAATTGTATTTGTGTGAATGTAATTTGCATGTTAAGAAAAATATTACCATTTATGTGCCAAAACGGCAGATGTAACAGGAGTGAAATCAGATTAAAGGTGATTAAGAGAGTCCCTGTGATCCGATGCCAAAGTTATGGTTATAAATCTTTTTTGCTGAACTCTTAGATAATGACAGATGAGCTCAGTGTTATTTTCTGTAGACAATTAGACCACTTCTTAACTACATAAATATTGTTGAAATTGAAATAATGTTTTTTCAGGTGTGCGAAATGGATGTTTCAAAGCAGCTCCAGGCTTATGAAGTGGAGTACCACGTTCTGCAGGATGAACTTTTGGACACGCCCCCAACCCTCAACCAACAGCAGCGGGCGGCACAGCTGGAACGGACCAATCAGAGCCTTCGGCAGCAGAACCTGGACCTGCTCGAAGAACTTCAGGTGAACGCACTGACACATGAAAACTCTCTTAGCATCAGAGAGGGGTAGAGTAGCCAAAAATTCTTCTGAAGTAAGAGTAATTTAACTTCAAAAGAATATTACTGAAGTAGAAGTACAAAATAGTGGTCCAAGAAATTACGCACGAGTAAAAAAGTATTTGGGAAAAGTTCCACTCAAGTAAGAGTAACTTAAAGAGTAACTGTGGGACGTAAGATCTGATTTATAATTTAAACTTAGATTTAGACTAACTTTTTTTTTATTTTGGTTAGTTTTTATTTACTTCTTTAATTTATTAACTTTATTAAAAGTTAATGTAATGGAAGACAAAACATTAATTTATGCATCAAATCTGGTATTTTCAAAGAATAGACACAAAATGAGAAAAAACGTAATCATCTAAAGGAGCGGAGCAGAAATACATATTGTCAACATAAAGAATCCGTGTATCATTCTTTCATTTTTCAAAATAAAACTGAAAAATAAGAAAACGAAAAACGACTATTTTCTTCATTATTTGTCTCCAAAATCAAAATGAAAAAACGGATAATTAATTTTTTCAGTTTTAAATTTTGTGTTTAAATGAATAATGGAAAAAACGGATAACAGACGTTTCCTGTTTACGTGACGTAAACTGCTATGCCGGACTGAACCAGGACTAAAACAGCATTAAACTAGGTCTAAACTAGGTCTAAACTAGGTCTAAACCAGGTCTAAACCAGGATTAAACCAGGGCTAAACTACTCTCAGTCCTGGTCTGGTCCCGGTCTCAGTCCTGGTCTCAGTTCACAGACTCGGAGGTGCGCCCGCCTAGACTGTTGTATGATCAGGACTGAGACCGGTTTAGTCCTGGTTTAGTCCGGGTCCTTGGTTGAGTCTGGCATCACAGTTTAAGTCACGGAAATTGGAAATGGCCGTTATCTGTTTTCTATCAGAGTACTGCTACTTCAATAAAAAATAAAAAAAATCTCAAGTAGGAGTAAAAGTATGCAACTAGAAAAGTACTCTGAATAGTATAATTTCTTCAAAAAGTTACTGAACTAAATGTAACTGAATACTACCCATCTGTGATTAGCATAAATAGCCCCATGTGATTAAACGGCTCCCCCTCCTCTCCCAGGTGTCTCATGCTCGTGTGTGTAGCCTGGAGAGCAGAGTGGAGGCTCTGGTCCAGTCTGACTCTCAGCTGAGGGAGCAGGTGACGGAGCTGGAGCAGGAGAAGCAGCAGCTGATTGGCACGATCTCACGCCTCCAAGACCTCCTCGACAGTTTGGGAATACGCACATCCCCAGACACACACGCCCTCCCCCCTCCCACCAGGACCGCACCTGCAAATACTGGACACACCCTACCACACCCTTTAGCTCTCCCAGAGGATTTGTAATTTAATGCAACTTCAAATTGTCAATGCAAGAGAACATGGATTTGTTTCTACCCAAAGTTTTTTAAATGACTTAACTGATTTTGCACCAAACGTATGATTTGAATTATAGCACTGACCCACATGTCCACTTCTGTAACTAGGCTGAATGGGACCTCTGTGTTTTTGAATGTCCAAACAAGAAGGCCAAAGCCAAAGTAAAGTCTTTCAGTAGAAGGTGTAAACCATAAGTTGTTTGCAATAAACTGTGTTCAGATTAAAAGGTCCAAGATATTGTGTCTCTACAGTATATATAATTATGTTTGATTCCACTGTGTTTTGATTTTACCATTGACTTTTTTTGTTTATGTTTCATTTCCCAAACACCGTGTATGCTTTAAGCCTCACTTTAAGTATTTTACCCAAAGAACCACACACTTTTTTACTGCTTGTTTATATCCTGGTAGTGAGATAGTTTGCTATTTCAAAGTAACTATCCCTTTTAAAGGTGCATTGCATAGCTTTTCTGGTGGAGGATGTCACTGCTTTGCTTAGAATGTTCTACAGTATGATATTAAACCGTTCTACTTTACATTTATTCAAATACAGGTGGTTTTATAGCTCAAAAATACCTACAAAAACAGGTATTCTGACTGTGAGCGGGGTCGCCTCTCCACAGATCTGACCTGTAACTTGGTCTGGTTTGGTCTCCATGAAGATAAAAAGGCTTAATGCAATACTGTGAAACATTCCAGACAAAGCAATACAATTTCTTGACTTATCCTCCACCAGAAATGTTACACAATGCACCTTTAAGTTAGCGAGCCAGATTAAGCAAAGCCGGCCCCATTGTGTTTTTATAGAGACAAATGTGTGTTAATGATTTACTGTATTGTACACTGAATTTCCTCCACAGGAACTACGTATCTGAACATTTGAAAGTGTTATTGTGTCTGTGTGCTTGTCACTTGTTCGACACTGTTTTAAGATATTTTACTTGCACATTATTTCTATGTTTTAATGACTCTTCAGTATCTTTAAATATATTTCTTATTCTTTCAGCATGTGTGAAGCGTTTTTTTTTTCCCTTCGTTTACATAAGTCTCAACTTGCTTGTCACTTTCAAACTTTGGTTTTAAAGTCTGAGTGAGTGGAATTATACTTAATTCTGTAGGTAAAAGGGGAGACATGTCTTGGCAGGTAACACTGACTTTTTTGAAAAGGCAGAGGTTTCATAATTCAAGAAGGGCATGTAAATCTATAGTGTTTTGTGTGTTTTAAGTTTAACTACCTAACTTAAGAGCTACTTATTTGCCTGGATGCCACAGTATTGCTACCTATTGTAAAACTCATTCACCAGCCAGTCCTGTCTATAAAAATCAGAAATGACTGAAATTCTTGACATTTTTTTTAAAAATCTGTTTTGTTTTCACTTTAAACGCAAGGTTAGTTTGTTTGAATTACTTTGTGTATGAATTGTGATATACAAAGTGCTTTACAGAATAAGAAAGATGTTAAAATTACAATGCAAACAAATCAAAACATAAATAATCATAAAATTAACGTTAAAAGGTGCATTGTGTCACTTTTCTGGTGGAGGGTCTGCCAAATGCTTGTCTCCATAGAGATGTTATCACTTTATCTGGATTGTTTTACAGTATGGAATTAAACCTTTCTATCTTCATGGAGACCAAACCAGACCAAGTTACTGAATGCATGTTTTTCTAGGTATTATTATTATTATTATTATTTTTAAGCTATAAAACCACCTGTAATTCAATAAATGTAAGGTACAGCCATTTAAAGTCCTATCACATATCCATAGCAACAAGCAGGTGATGGACCCCCAAGCAAAAAGTTACACCAAGCCCCTTTAAAAGAGCGGTTTTAAGCCTGGATTTAAACATAGTCAAAGTAAAGGCCTGTCTCTTTTGGCTGCCTAAAACTGAAACGCTGATGTAAAGCCTAATTATCAGCTTCATTAAAAAGAAGCAACATTTTTCATTCTGTGATCTGAATAGAGATGCAACAAAGGAAATCAGGACACGCCTTTTTCCACAGCTGCTGATTGACAGGTAAATTACTACCAAAGCCACACAGCCACTCCCTGTTGACCACTGGGAGTCTTCTCTTATGTACTGTAGAAAATATCACACATGGAGCTCAAATGGATGTTTCAAAGGCTCATAACTCCTGAGTGTGGAGCCCAGCCCAGGTTCACTGCGGTAAATTTTGTCCTATTATAAATTCAAGTGTAGGTTTTGTTAGGATTTAGTGGTTTAGTTTAGTCTGTCATGTATTGAAATAGAGTGTGTAAAAAAGGATTCCTAAAAAAATAAATAAAATAAATACACCCTAGGAAATAATGTGATCTTACAAGTATCATCTGTAATGTACCGTGGGATGATTGGTGACGCTGTAATATAATCTCGCTATTACTTTGCGCTAAAGCAAGTTATTCAAGCCTAAACATATCTGTATTTGGCATTTACAAATGAGGTCTGAGCCAATAAGAATATTTTCACAAATCAGAACTTCGGGAATAAACCAGTTCCAAAACCAAGTCGCAATAAAATTTATCCAGTACAAAAATTTGTCCAAACTGAAGGATTGATTTCATTATTTAATCTGAGACTATACAGTGGTCCTCATGTTAAGGCTGACCTAGAAGGCCATGTCCCACTAAATGATGGGTTGAACTAAATGACCCAGTGGTGGAAAGTAACAAAGTAAAAGTAATAAAACTGTACTTAAGTATATATTATTTGGTTACTGTACTTTATTTAAATGCATTTAAAATGGATATTTTTTATTTTTATTTTATTACATTTGAGAGCAGTACTGTGCTCTCTACTCCACAACATTTTTTTTTAACACGAAAAGTAAAAGTATTTTTTATTATTGTTTGACACTTGTTGAAAAGGCTGAGGGTTTAGTTTTAACACATCTGTATTTTTAGTGAACAAAAATATACAAACAAAAACAGCTATGAACAAAATAATCAATTTCAATAATCAATTCAAAATTAAGTACTTTTTCAAACTGGGACTTTGATACTTGTGAGTAAAAGTGGTGTGATACTTTTACTTCATTATCTTTTGCTCCTGTATCTGTACTTTTACAACCAAACGGAGTACTTCTTCCACCAGTGAAATGACCCTTACACTGGTAGTACCACTGGATCACTTAAAACTGTGTAAATAGATGATGCTTGTTTGTTGACCCCAGTTTCTCAGGACATTCATGCGGATTTGAGCTTTGCTTCTGTTTACTCTTCCACAGAATCCACCTCAGACAAGCACAAAAACTCACCACTCTCTCATCCATAAGCATCACACGTGTCGCTATCAAAATGTATTACTTATTTTTGTCTTTGATCTTTTGCAGTCAGTTTATCAACGAACCTTCACTTGTGTGTGTGTTTAGTTTTATGTGCTTTATAAAGGTGTCTGGTTGTAATCAATACAGTACAGGACAATAACGATAATAAAACTGAAATAAATGAGCAAGAGAACAAAAGGTCAAACAAGTCTAGCTCGTAAAGTAGAGTTCATGTGTGATAACACGTCTTCAACCTGAGACAAGAGTGAGAGTGCAGTCATAAAATAAGGCCCTTAATGAATCAACTAACTTCTGTTTTTTTTTTCTGTTTTCTTAAGTGTGTGAAGATAAGGCTGATTTTTTTTAAGCTGTGTGAGACTCAGTGCACCATTGCTTACTGTTTATGGACCTCAAAATGTTTGGCTGAGTTGATACCTTGCATTGATACGACGCTGGGCTGTTCTACATGAATTTACACCAGTTGCCATGGAGACACAATGTGCACATTACACTGCTAAATGAGTTTAGAATTATCTGCAGCTCAAAGACAAAAAAAAACTAAACAAAAGTGATTGAAACAACACATTTTCAGGAACCTGTGATCAATACAATAAAAAATAAATAGAGGTGAAAAAAGTCTCAATAACTGAAAAACTGGGGATAGCCCCATGTTTTCACAGCTCTATGTTCCCTCATTTCTAAGATTTTTTCTTATTTCTAAGATTTTTCTCAAAATGAAAGTCATTTTTTTTTTTTTATACTGCATTTAACGAGATGATTCAGAGTCATTTCAACCTAGGATCCTTTGCACCATGACTTCTACATTACATCTCTAGTCAACTGCTGCTGGTCAGATGTAATTGATGACCAAATTGTGAGCTAATGTGACTAATTTTATGTGTGAGAGATTTGTTCAAAGGTGCATTGAGTAACTTTTCTGTCACTTCTGTGTTTCTATGAATATGTCATTGCTCTTCTTAGAATGTTCCACAGTATGACATTAAACGGCCCTACCTTACATTTTTTCAATTTTATATAATACCTAAAAACAGGCGTTTTGACCGTGAGAAAGGTCACCTCTCCATAGATCTGACCTGTAACTTGGTCTGGTTTGGTCTTTATGATAAGAGAAAGGATTAATACCAAACTGTGAAACATCCCAGACAAAGCAATAACAATAACAGTAATAATAAAAGACTCATCTGACTCTCCACTGGAAAAGTTACACAATGCATCTTTAAGTGCAAAAATCATCTAACCTGATGTCCAGTTCAGTTCTTTCTGTTCAGATTCTGTTAAAATAAAGCTCAGATTAAGTCTAACTTGAGCAACAGGCTATGTGTGTTCGTGTGTCATAACCATCAATCAGTGAACTGACGACTTTATGGCCAAAGCTCTGACATGTGTGAAATTCGTCAGTCGTCCAGGCTATGTGACTGTGACACATTTTTTAATGAAAGCATGTCTGACCTGACAACATAAAATTAGCCCATACGTTAAAAGCACTATTTTCAAGGAAATTGCACAGGGCTGTTTCGACATCCTCGTCTGTGTGCATTTCTTCACTCTAAGCAGGCGTCAGGGTTGCACATGTCCAAACTATGAGTTATTGCATAATCTAGCCTATGTCTGCTTAGTGACAGGCTTCTACAAAGATCAGAGTAATTAATCAAAAGGTTTGCAATTCAATGTACAACGACATAAGGAAGTACAGTCTGGGATATGAGGATATGAGACAGACAAGAAATCCTATTGAGTCAAGGGTCAATTACACCATAACAATAAATATGTCTACATGGGAGATATATTTTGTCTTGATTTAAAGGTGCACAATGTAACTTTTTGGTTGGGAGTCCATCACCTGCTTGTTTTTATGGATATGTTACTCCTTTTCCTGTCTCTACCTTGCATTTATTCATCTACAGGTGGTTTTATAGCTCAAAAATACAGAGAAAAAACAAGGATTCTGATTGTGAGCGGGTTCACCTCTCCATAGATCTGGCCTGTAACTTCGTCTAGTTTGGGCTCCATAAAGATAGAAAGGTTTAATGCCATACTGTGAAACCAGACAACACAATAACATCTCCATGGAGAAAAGCATTTGACGAACCAAGAACAGTTACACAATGCTCCAAAGAAATGTGATCCAACATTGTAGCAGTAGATAATGATGAGAGTAATAACAGCGATGTATTGAATAATAAGTCATAAGCACACTTAGATATGTCCCGGTAAACAGTCTGCTGGCTTGTATTTCATGCGGAGCTGCCAGGCACATCTCACATGTTCTTACCTGAATCCAGTTACAATCTTTTGTTTTGTTTTTGTGTTGACTGCAGCACATCCACCAGTATTCACAAACATAAACCTGTCACAGTAATTATTATTTTGACATATTGTTCAATATGTGAAAGCTGGAACTGTATATTTTGGGGTTCAATATGGGTCTGTGTACAATTTCTTCATAAAAGTGTTGAGATTTTAGGATATTTTTGTTGTAATACAATAATATTTGAGCTGCAGAGGGTTGAATAACTAACTTCTATGGCTACTTATTGCTTAATGCTGTTATTTACTTGTTGCAGCTCAGGTCTTTTAAATTATACGGTCTATTTAAAAACGGCTTACTGGAATTATCTTGCATTACCGTTATTGTATCAGTGGTATAAAGTAGTTTCAATATAATCGTTTATTTCAATATATATCTCTACTAAATCTGTTCTCGTGACCGGCCTGGCAA